GGGGGGGAGGTCTTAGGTAATCTTAAATGAATGTTGCTAATGTTTCCCTACAGACCTAGCTGTTTATACCCCATGTGACTGTCCTTTGTAATTTTATGGCCTCTAGTCTTTAGCTAAGAATGAAACCAGACAGTTGAGGCCATATGGCTCAGAGCATCTGAAGCGGGACAGCAGCTCAGTAGCCCTAATGGAGGCTCAAATAGGCAAAGAATAGACGTTTGGTGGATCTCAGAGGCTTTATAGACTTTAGATCTTACCTCCAGAAAGAATAAGACATTTCTTTTCCTGTGTGAGAGATTTTCAGACAGTGCTTCAGGTTACTAAGATACTCATATTTGCCTTGAGCCTGTAATTCCAGCACTTGAAAGGTAGGAGGATCAGGAGTTCAATCCTCAGCTACACAGCAAGGTCAAGACTAGTCTGAACTAGAGACCCCATTTAAAAAATTACGTTTTGGGGCCAGTGAGATGGCTCAGTGGGTAAAGGTGATTCTGCCAAGCTTGACAACCTGAATTCAGTCCCTGGGATCCAAGTATTGGAAAGAGAGCTGGTTCTCCTAGGTGTCCTCTGAGGCCCCCCCATGATCAATAAAAGCATAACAAGCATTTTTGTTAACTAACTGAAAACACACAAACGATAAACTATTAAATGATTTATAATACAGTAACGTCTGATATACCAATATCGCCCAAAAAAGAATAGTCTCAAGAATTCTTCGAATTAAATGTAACTTAGCTGTTATTTTGTTGAGTTTCAGACCTGCCTGACCTAGGTCTAAATTTCACAAATCGCTAACCTCTCAGATGTTGCTGGTGAAGGGGTTTTGCTCTCAGCTGCTGCTTTTGTTGGCATAGCTGTGCTTGTTCCTCAGTCTGTCTGACTCTGCTCTGTGTGGAGGCCGTTTACTGTGTGGGTGAAGTGGTTGGAGTTTTCTGTAGTGTGACCTGCCGCTCTGAGAGCCAACTCCTCTGAAGGAGGCTCAGCCAGATATCCTCTTGACGTTGAGTTTTGTCTCTTGGGTCCTGAGAGTTTCTTCTAAGCTCTTCGGCATGTTCAAATTCATAATCCAGGTGCGGTTTTGGTTACTAAGCACTGTATAATATTAAAGAAATCTTTTCTCTCTCTCCCTCCCCAAGGCTTTGATGACAGTTGGAAAAGAGCCGTTTCCCACCATTTATGTGGATTCACAAAAGGAAAATGAGGTAGGGCACGTTAATCGCTGATCATGTTTTGTGAATGATAAATTTTTCTGAGCACAGAGAGGGGTCGAAGATAATGCAAATCTCTGTGTTCTCTCTCTCTCTCTCTCTCTCTAGAGGTGGGATGTCATTTCTAAGTCACAGATGAAGAACATTAAAAAGATGTGGCATAGGGAACAGATGAAGAATGACTCTCGGGAGAAGAAAGAGGTGACTGGTGAATTTGCCACTGTGCACACTCTTATAGTACAACACCCCAAAAAACTACATTGACCAGTTGCATTGTGTTTATCAGGCAGAAGATAACTTACGGAGAGAAAAGAACCTGGAGGAAGCAAAGAAAATTATCATTAAAAATGACCCAAGCCTGCCAGAGCCGGCCTGTGTAAGTGTCCCGTCATTTCTGGCACTGTGGGCGTGGCTGTTTCTGGGCCTGCAGGACATACACATCTTTTCTTCTTACATTTTGTTTTCCTTCCTGGGGGAACAGAGACACAGTGTTTGAAGTGCTGAGGTTGGCATTTAGAGGGTCATTTTGTTGCTAAAACTAGAAATTGTGTGATCAGTAGATTCTGCTCTGGCTGATGGGTATCAGGTGTGGAGTACCAGCTGGCTGTGCTGGGTGATTTGAGACAAATGATTTTGCCCTCTGTGGTATCAGTTTCCTTACCCAAAAGTAAAAAGGTCGAAATCTCTGTGGTTTTCATAAGTTTTACAAATATATAAGAAACGTTTATGATTCTCTGAGGGGAAGTTTGCGCGTGTGTTTTTTCTGGACCCAAATAGATGGCTGACTCGGAAGTGAGTGTGGCTTGAGTTCCATTGATGCTTTTGCTGCCCAGCGTCTGTCACCTCCTGCTCCCTCCCTCGCCTCCTCGTTCCTCTTCACATTTCCTCTCTTGTCTTAGTGTAATCTTCCTGGTGTGTAGGTGTGCAGAGGGACTGGACAGGCTGGGATTGATGCTACTGTGGGGACAAACGAAATTCATTCCTTACCTGGTTTTCTTTAATAGGATCCCAGCCAGTTGTAGGTATCTCTCATTATCGATTTTACACTGATAGAAAAGAACTTTTTTTAAAATTAATTGTTATGGTGGGGAGTGTTTTTCGGTTGGTTGGTTAGTTTGAGTTTGTTGTTGTTGTTGTTGTTGTTGTTGTTGTTGTTTCGACAAAAGGTCTCATTAGTATCCCTCATAGAGATCTTCCTGACTTGCCTTACAAGTACTGAGATTAAATGTGTCCACCATCACACTCAGCGGTGATTGTTTTTAATACTTTACTACAATCTATGGGTCTATGTAATATTAGTGAAAATCTTGGTATGTGATAAATGGCATAATTCAGATAGTTTTTATTTAAATTTGACAGGTAAAGATTTGTGCATTAGAAAAATATAGAGGCCAAAGAGTGAAGGTGTTCGGCTGGGTCCACAGGTTGCGTAGGCAAGGTGAGTGGGGTGGTTTTTCTTTCCCTCTTTTCAATCTTCAGTAAACCTGGTCTTAAATGAAGAACTGATGTGGGATGTCCTTTTGTATATGTATTGCTTAGTGAATAAAACTGTTTGGGCCAATGGCTTAGCAGAGCAAAGCCAGGCGTGAAATCTGAACAGAGATAGAGTAGGCAGAGTCAGAGAGGTGCCATGTAGCTGCTGAAGAAGGACTCCCCTAGAACCTTTCTGGTAAGCCACAGATTAATAGAAATGGGTTAATTTAAGATGTACGAGTTAGTTAATAAGACGCCTGAGCTAATTGGCCAAACAGTGTTGTAATTAATATAGTTTCTGTGTGATTATTTGGGTCTGGGTGGCCAGGAAATGAACGAGCAGCCTCCATTTACAAAGAACATCATAAAAACACTTCTCCGGGTTTGTTTAGGCTTTTGGTATGTTTACTGTCTTTTTTAAGTGATGTAACAAATTATAACCTAAATTCATATGTAATATGACTATGAAAGTTTGAAGATTATTTAGATATTACTTGAACTGTTCGTAATCACATTGATCAAGAGGTGTATAACAAGTACATCATCCTCAAATTGAATTTTAATTATTTAATGAGAAACAGAGCTGTGTGTTATAAGGAAAAACAGATCCTGATCTGGAATGTGATTACAGGTGTGGGTGTGTGTGTGTGTATTTTAAATCTTATTTTTTAAGTTAATATTTTTGTTGGTTCGTGTTTTCCTTCCTCCCCATGTATGATGTGTGTATGTATGGTGTGTATGAGTGTGGCATGCTTATGTGTGGACATGTGCATGTGGAGGACTGACATTGATGTCTGAAATTATCCAGGATCTCTCTTCCACCAGCATTCTAGTTTTGATTTTTATGATTACCTTCAACCTGTCTTTTTTTCTCTTTTTATTAGTTTATTATCTTGCTATAGGTGATTATCAAATCTTTCATAGAAACAAATAAGTTATAAATAAGTGTTTAATTTCACATTTTTTTACCCCTCTTTCTGAGTGCTCAGCACTGTTCTTTACATTATAGGAGATTCAGAAGTAGATAAGACAGTGCCTCAGCTCCTTAACCGACTTACAGTCCCATGATCGTGTAGATTGTGTGGATCATGTGGTTAGAACATAAAGTACACAGAGACTAGGCTTGGGGACAGGGATTTCAAAGGAAGAGGGCATGGAAAGGTCTGAACTCCCATGACTGACTTTGGGACTGTTTTATGTAGGAGGATTGTGAAGTACTCTGCTTGAACTTTTGTCTCCCTTTCCTAGGAAAGAATTTGATGTTTCTGGTGTTGCGAGATGGTACGGGCTATCTGCAATGTGTCTTGTCAGATGACTTGGTAAGTATTTTATCTTACATGTGCCCGAAAGATTGAATTTAATAGGGTCCATTGCTCTAAGTTTTGATAATTTTAGGATCTCTACATATACTTTAAATTTTTACTGTGTTAACTGTGGATACCTATGTCGAAACCGTTGTGTATCATAAATGTAAAAAGTTTTGATTGTATCTTGGAAAAGCTAGAGCGAAGCTTTTGTTATGGAAGTTTTCTGAACTGTAAAGACAGAACAGTATAGAGAGTCTTATGACGGGCCTGAGTAACCACCAGCTTATGCTGGGTCTTGGTATCTTTCCCTGGATGTCACATTCCTAACAGTGTCTCCTTGTCGTTCATTATCTCTCTTTCTGCTCCCAGCTATTTGTGGGAGGAAAACCCAGAAATTCCTCTGTGGAGCATCTCACAGATGGGTTTGGTGAATTCCTGCCTCTCTGTCACTTAGTGTGCTTCTGCTTGCCCTGTGTTTTATACGTGGACCTTGGTCTGACGGTGTTGATTTTTATTTTATCCTTCACATGAATGCTTCCTGTGCAAAGCTGCTCTGGTTATGTCCGGAGGCACATGATGTTGACATGTCTTTGTGATCAGTAGCTTTCAGTGTAAGAAGCCTTATCCCTCTATTGTCAAATTGCCCATTATCTTTCTCCTAATGACTTTAGCATCTGCTGGTCATCGCAGTGTAGAGAGGCTCTGTCTTAAGTCAAAAATGAACTGTGTGGATATGTAATGGACTAGGGTCTTTTATGCTTATGTATCCATGTAAAGAGAACTTAAATATGTTTTTACATAGCCATATGTTACTCAACCATAGCACCACAGTCCAAGAAATATGTTAGCAAGCGATCTCATTGAACAAATATCAGGGTGTGCCTCGCTATCATATCAGTAGGTAATGTGAGCTACCCTTAGGTAATAGGGAGCACTCTGCTGCTAATAGGAGCATGTGGTGCATAGGTACATTGCCTCCTCCAACAAGAGCGCTTGCACGCTCTTGCGCTCTCTCGCGCTCTCTCTCTCATCTTATGAATCAGTGGTGAACCCAGGGTGGTAGCATAACCTGTAATCCCAGCACTTGCAAGAAGAGGCAAGAACTTGAGCAGTGCAAGGCTAGCTGGAGCTACATGAGACCCTGCTCAACAAGAAGCCAAAAACAAAATTAGTGATAGTATCAATCCTGACTTACAAATATTTGACTAATAACTTGTTTGTAAACAATTCCTTTAACTTTATTAGAATATTTTAAAATCAACATAAGTAGCCTAATATGAGCTTTGACCTTTTTGCAGTGCCAGTGTTACAATGGAGTAGTCTTGTCCACTGAGAGCAGCGTGGCAGTATACGGAACACTAAACCTGACTCCAAAGGGCAAGCAGGTGAGCAGGGTGAACGCGTGGAATAAAGTAGTCGGTATCGAATGGTTTGTTCTCCAGTGTCTTTATTGGTACATTTGGCGTTTGGCATATAAATACACAAATGTGAAGTAGTGTAAATTCAGTATACTGTGTTCTTTTCCAGTAAAATATATCTGCTAACAGTTTATGTTGTAGTCTGATTTTTCATAGCTATAGCAGTCTCGTGGACTGGGAAATTTATGAAAACAAGAGAATTTTCTTGTAGTTCTGGAGGTTGGTTAGTCCACAATGGAGGGGCTACTTTTGGTGACGGCTTTCTTGCTGTGACACACTGTGACTAACTGCGTCAAGACTAAAGAATGCATTCAGTGGGTTGGGATGGGGCTGAGCTGGCTTGTGTGACAAATCTAGTCTCATAATCAGGACGCTAACTCTCCAAGTGACGGAACTCATCCATGCAGGTAGGGGCCTCCCAATCTGAACACCTCCCTCTGCTGCCTCAGTGGCAAGTAATGTCACTGTGACTTTGAGAGAATTCAGAGTTCACAGTCAAATCAGAATAGCGTGGGGATACACATCATTTTTAATCCCAGCGCTTGAAGGCAGTGACAGATAGATTTTTGTGAATCAGTGTGGTCTACATAGTGAATTCCAGGATGGCCAGAGCTACATAATGAGAGCCTGCCTCAAAACAAAACAAAAAACAAACGAAAAAACCTTAGCTTTTCAACTTAATTCTTGGTTAGTTGCGCAGCCACTTTGCTATGGTGTAGTAGTAGCTTCAGCCAGGCGAAAGTAAAATCTTGACCACTGAGAGTTTCAGAAAACACTAGTCTAGACTGAAACATTTTGAACAGAAACTGGTGGTAATTTAAGAAAAAAAAAAGTAGAAAGAAAGAGAAGAAAAATGTGCATATATTTGTGCCTTAGCCAAGGACAGATAATCAGTCAGTTGGCAATCACAATTCAAATAACTACTGTGGTTGTAATTGTTGCCCAGGAAGAGAAACCTACAGATGTAGCATATTAACCACAAGAGGGAGCAAACACTCCTAGCCCAGACAGAGTCCCTGTAATAAAAGAGAGTGTCTGGGTGAATTGGCCCAGCCCTCCTCGAAGTGGCGTGGCAGAGATGGAGCGGTTGTCATGGTGTTACTTGCTGTCCACTGTTTGGCAACACGATAATTCCATGTCCCACAAATGTGAGGCTTTTAAAAAGAATTACTTTCTGTTGAGTCGGTAGGGGAGATTTTGACTATCTTTCTCCAAATAGATAAGTAGATAAACTGCTTTTAGTGAAACTTTACAAATTTAAGATTTTATTTTTTATTACTTCAATTGTGTGTGTGTGTGTGTGTGTGTGTGTGTGTCAGGAAGCAGAGATGTCAGACCCTCTGGAGCCGGAGTTGAAGGTGGTTGTGAGCCACTCTGTAGGTGTTAGGAACTGGACTCGGATCCTCTGGAAGCTTAGTATGCACTCTTAACCGCTGAACCAGCTCTTAGCTCCGTATTTAAGTTTTGATATATGGATAAATATGTTAACTAAATCTTTAGGTAAATGCTAGAAAAATAAACCATGATGCTAATAGGTCATGTAATTAGAGTTGGTTTAATTCTTAGTGCATGCCTTCTTATTTATAAAAGTGTGTGTGTGTTTACATGGAAAGAAGTATGAAATATAAAATTATAGTATTGAGTTACTGGGTGTGTAATTTTGGAGGCTAAAACTACTAATGATGCTCTTAAAATAACACCTGGAAATTTGGACCCAGAATCTTCAGTATTGTCAGCTTACTGTCTGTCTCACTCCCTCTGCTTTTCTCTTCTGCTTTTTAACTCTAGGCTCCAGGAGGCCACGAGCTGAGCTGTGACTTCTGGGAACTGGTGGGGCTGGCCCCAGCTGGAGGGGCTGATAACTTGATCAACGAGGAGTCCGATGTGGATGTCCAGCTCAACAACCGGCACATGATGATCCGCGGAGAGAACATGTCCAAAATCTTGAAGGCGCGGTGCATGATCACCAGGTGCTTTAGGGACCACTTCTTCGACAGGGGCTACTGTGAAGTAAGTGCCCGTTCCAGGTCACCGTCTACGAGTGACGCCCCGTGCCATTGGAAGGCTGCTGGCAGCAGCAGACGTGTGTGCTCCTTCTCACCTAACAGGTCACCACCCCGACGCTGGTGCAGACGCAGGTGGAAGGCGGGGCCACGCTCTTCAAGCTTGACTATTTTGGGGAGGAAGCGTTTTTGACTCAGTCTTCGCAGCTGTACCTAGAGACCTGCCTTCCGGCCCTGGGGGATGTTTTCTGCATCGCCCAGTCCTACAGGGCCGAACAGTCCAGAACACGAAGGCATCTGGCTGAGTACGAAATTGTCTACCTAAGCTGCCCCTTGGGCAGGGCTAAAGTTCAACTAGTTGAGTGAATGCTTAGCATACTAAGGCTCCAGGTTCTGTCTGCAGCATCACATAAAGTAGCGGGCATGGTGGTACATGCTAGTTATCCCAGTTGGGAGGTGGAGGCAGGAAAGGCAGAAGTTTAATACCAGCCTGGACTATAAGACCCTGGCTGAGAAGCAAGAAAAGGCAGTTGGCTTCTTAGGTACCAGTCAGTGAGGGTTGCGAGAGCAGGGCCTTGGTTCCTTTCTGAACACTTCTCCCAGGTCCAGATCTTTGCTTGAGAGACACTTTGTGTAAAAGAAGAGCAGCTCTCAGCTGTGTCTGTTGTTTAGATTCACGCATGTGGAAGCCGAGTGCCCCTTCCTGAGCTTTGAGGACCTCCTGAATCGTTTGGAGGACCTAGTGTGCGATGTGGTGGACAGAGTCTTGAAGTCACCGGTGGCGAGCATAGTGTATGACCTCAACCCGGTAGGTGTGGCGTTTTCTCGAAATGAAGGGATTCCAGTCTTGTAGAAGACAGCATCTCTCTCAATTTTTGTAGATTTGGTGAGCTGAAATAAGTAGGCAATGTTTTGAAGACTTAAACTTATATTGGTAATTGCCAATTTTAGCTTATAGAAGAGGTGGTTCATAAGTATTTCTTCATCTAAATACTCTTTCATATTAATGATCTGTAGGATTATTCTCTTTCTTTAAGAATTTGTTATTACCTTATGTGTTAATGGTGTGTGGGGGCCTGCTCGTACAATGATGGCACATAGAAGGCAGAGAACAGCTTTGTGGAGTCGGGTTCCACGGATCAGACCCTGGCTATTGGGCTTGCCTGGAAAAGGCTCCGCCTGTCTGATGTGGGAGGTCCTTCTGTATATGTGTTGCTTTTATTGGTTGATGAATAAAGATGTTTTCAGTTAATGGCTTAGCAGAATAAAGCCAGGCAGGAAATCCGAACAGAGACATATAGAGAGAGTAGGCAGAGTCAAGCAGACGCCAGCCAGCCGCGGAGGAAATAAGACATGTAGAAAATGAGAAAACACCATGACCACATGGTAATACATAACTAATAGAAGTAGGTTAATGTGAGATGTAAAAGCTAGCTAAAAATATGCCTGAGCCATTTTGCCCACTTGCATGTCTGTGCACCACATGCATGCAATGTATCTGGAAGCCAGAAGAAGGTGCTGAGTCTCCTGGAACTAGAGTTATAGATGGTTGTGTGCTACCATGTGGGTGATGGGAATCAAACCCAGGTCTTCTGGAAGCTCAGCCCTTTTCTTAACCACTGAATCATCTCTCTAGCTCCATTTTTGTTTCTTAATAGATGTTTTAGTCTGAATGCTTTCCTTTTATACAGTTTTTTTCTCTTCTTTTTACTCTAGAACTTTAAACCTCCCAAACGGCCTTTCAGACGAATGAACTATTCAGATGCTATTGAGTGGCTGAGGGAACACGATGTAAAGAAAGAAGACGGGACGCTCTATGAGTTTGGAGACGTATGTATCCCTTTCTCCTTGCTTCAGAGGGGTTGTGTGCTAAGGCTGCTGATGGTGGCTGCTTGATGCTGGAAGCCTCGACTTGTCCTCAAGTCAGTAGTACTAGCAGAAACTACCTCTTGAGATTATCTGGATTCCTGATAGAGTGGACTTTAGAACAGCGTCCTTTTGGGCAATTCTAAAGCATTGGAGTTCCTTCTCTTCCTGCTCTCATGATCATTCGTCGGCCAGTGCATTCCTGAGCCTCCCACCATGCGTTTGGGGGTGTCAGTTATAACTGATTCAGACCTGAATCAAATAATGTATTTGATTATTTTTAGCACACTGTAGGTGCACACGCCTGTGTGTGTGTGTGTTTACAGGTGAAATGTCAGTAGCTGCTACTCGGCAGTTTTGGGGTTAAGAAGGAATTTGTATGGAGTTGAGAACAAATGACACAGCAGCTCTCCACACATGGCGCTTGCTGCCTTGTAAATTCAGTTCATGATGCATAGCATAGTTCTGCACTGAAGGTGTTTTGGTTTGTGGTTTTTGGTGTGTTTTTTGTTGTTGTTGTTTGTTTTATTTTTTTGAGACAAGGTTTCTCTGTAGCTTTGGAGCCTGTCCTGGACTAACTCTTGTAGACCAGGCTGGCCCTGAACTCAGAGATCTGCCTGCGTCTGCCTCCCTAGTGCTGGAATTAAAGGCATGTACCACCACCACCACCCAGCTTTTGAACTGAAGTTTTAAGTACTTTATTATTTCTAATACTTAGCATGGTTGAATGGGACAGTCACTAACTGTAGAGCCCAAGTATTCTAGTTCCCCAGGTGGACTCTCTCAGCCTGCTGTGTCACTGAAGGCTAGTGACCAGATGAAGTGGGTAACGCCCCTGGCACAGGATGTCCTCAGTGAGTGCTGGTGGGTGATGTGCGTTTCTGCTGTCCCACAGCAGTAGGACTCTGGAGCTAGCAAACAGTTGCAGACTTTCCAGTGTAGATTCGTCTCACACAGATCCCCCAGTGTGGGAGGAAGATAGAAGCTTGGAGATCAGACTGTTCCCCGCTCATCCCTGTCTTTCATACCTGAGGGCATAGGGCTTCGGGGAACAGAGCCAGTGACTGCCAAGTTCTGTTTCAGTTCCTTTTTTTCCTCCTGAGACAGGGTTTCTCTGTAGCTTTAGAGCCTGTCCTAGAACTAGCTCTTGTAGACCAAGCTGACCTCGAACTCACAGAGATCCGCCTGCCTCTGCCTCCCGAGTGCTGGGATTAAAGACATGTACCACCACCACCACCCAGCCTGTTTCAGTTCTTAAAACAAATCAATGAGTTTTGTCCAGTTCTCAGTTTTTACTGGGACAGGAGTTTTGAGTTCCGGTTTGAATATGATTTCCTAAAGGATGTTTTGGGAGAGGCACTAATTTAGCTTGGTTTATCATTTAATATTTCTTGGTTATTGTTGGAGGTGTGTCGGTTATTTTATGACTGTTTCTGTCAGTGAGTGATGTTTGTAACAGGAAGGGAGTGCAGGTCACAGTTTAAAGAGGAGTTCTTCAGTGCTGTGCAGAGCAGTGATGTCCTGAAGCGTACACCGTCTTCTGCTCTGGAGACCAAGCGGGCCATGTTCGTGTGAGAGCTTGGGTCTGGCCACTGACCAGGACAGCGAACAGTATCTTGTCACAGCTTAGAGATGTCTGGCAGTGGTTTGTTCCCCAGCAGCCTCGGCACACTGCCTGGGCTGTGTTAAAAGAAGCAGGTCTTCCTATAGTTCACTTGATACCACGAGTAGGTTTTCCTCTTTTTAGAAGGAATTGTTCCTGTGTTGCATGTCTGGGCTTTAGGTCCGTGTGTGTCCTCTGCTGTGGTATAGAAGCATAGCCAGGGCCAACTGATGCTGGAAGAGCTGCTCTCGGTTCACAGTTTTAAAGTTAATGAAATCTGGTTTCACCTCAGGATATTCCTGAAGCTCCTGAGAGACTGATGACAGACACCATTAATGAACCGATCCTGCTGTGTCGATTTCCAGTGGAGATCAAGTCCTTCTACATGCAGCGATGTCCTGAGGATCCCCGGCTCACTGAATCTGTCAGTTTGTGGTTCTCTGAGTATTGGAAACTTTGCTGTTTTAAGGGACTGGGAACTGTCATTTGGGATAAGATACAGCTCATGACAAGTATTTTATAAATCTATAATGACAGTAGTTAAACTTAAAAAAAATTTCTTCCCTGATTGGGTTGACGTGTTCTGATAAAGAATTTAAGTAATACTTGAATTTTGCATAATCACAGGGCTTCCTTTCAAGTTAGGAGCTTAATTGTAATTTTCCTTAAAGCCTTGTAATCTTGTCTGATAGACTGGCAGTAATTGTGATAGTTTTTTGTTTGTTTTTTGACTTATTATTTAAAGGTTGATGTGTTGATGCCCAATGTTGGTGAGATTGTGGGCGGCTCGATGCGCTCTTGGGATCATGAAGAAATTCTGGAAGGCTATAAAAGGGAAGGAATTGACCCCGCTCCTTATTACTGGTATACAGATCAGGTAAAAACAATTGTTTAAATTTCTTTAGCTTTTTTCACTGTAATACATTTTTCATATATTGAAATGCCTTGTGTTGTATGGCATTGGAGGCCAGAATCCCAGGTCACCCATGAGTAGTTGATCTCTGTTTGCTTTGTGTAGCATTTGGATATTGCCATTTTTGCCTTCAGCCAAGTCAGTGCCATTTGCCAAACTCTTTGTCTGCTGCAGGTTTTTTGTTTTTTTTTTTTAATGTGTATGGACATTTTCCCTGCATGTATGTTTCACATGCAGTGCCCCCAGAGGCAGAAGAGGGTTTGAGAGCTCCTGGAGCTACCAGTACAGATAGTACTAAGCTACCTTGTGGGTGCTGGAATCTGAACTCAGACCCTCTGGTAAAGCAGCCAGTACACTTAACTGCTGAGCTAACTTACCTTACTAGCCCTGCTGCAGTTTTTAAATCTATTACTAGATCCTGCCAACATCTAATACTGTTCCTCAGTCTCCTGATAAGTCATGGGAATTAGGCAGAAAGGTTGAAATCATCTCTTCCTTTCAGGGTGGCTCTACATCCCTGATGTGGTATTTATTATCTCTCTGTGTGGTTTATGAAGGCATGTGGATTTGAGCTGCATTATTATTGCAATGAGTAGTTGTGGAAGTTAGCTCATGGTAGTGATTTTAACATGTTTAGTTATAGTTTTAAAGTAAGCATACGTTCTTTCTCTTTCTTCTCGTTTATTTAACAGAGAAAATATGGTACATGTCCTCATGGAGGCTATGGCTTGGGCCTGGAAAGATTCCTAAGTTGGATTCTGAACAGATATCACATCCGAGATGTGTGCTTATACCCTCGATTCGTCCAACGCTGCAGGCCATAACCGAGGGCCCTGAAGCATGAAGGAAGGGAAAACGTTCAAGAAAAGATAAGACTGCTTCTGCAAAAGAACAAAACTCTGAAGCCACCCCTTGATTTCCAGTTGGGCTAGTAGCTTTTTCTGTCTCTATGTGTTTTCTTCCCATTACCATAAAAAGAAGTAGATGTGACTTGAATACAAGGTGACATTGATGTCCCTTTAATAAAAATACTCATTACAAAATTTTCAAAAAGTACGTGGCATATCACTCTTTAGTTGGGAAAACATTTTATTGTACTGTAGGTTACAATCACTGTATTAAATAAACCATATATGATTGTATAGTTTTAAATATAGTCTGATATTCCATCAGCTTTATATTTTTGTCCTTTTAAATGTCACAGGAATTATTTAATGTATTATATACATGTTATAGCAAACATCTAAAAGAGAAATTGGCCATATGATATAAAAATCTAATACTAATTATAGTGCAACAGTGTAGCTATTGGGATCGAATACTGTAGTCTTTTACATTCGCTATTAATCTTTTCTAAATTCACACAGTGCTTCTGATTCTGAGGGGCATGAATTGGTAGGAAAAATTTATGAAGGGGGATTGAGTTAAAATTTACAATGAACATGATTTGGATGATGGGTTATTTAAATGATTCCAAGTAACTCCTCAGCCTTCAATCTGAGAGCAGGGTGAGGCTCGGCTTCCCTGTTCTGTTGTAATTCCGAGTGATGAAAGGTAAATATGGTCCCAAAGGATTTGCACCTGGAACCTTAGCCACCATTAGGCAGCTAAGTCACCCACCCAGTCTCGGGTACCATCTGCGCTGCCCGACAGGATCCTAGTTGGTTTACTGCATGGCCCCAGTGCAGTTGATTCGTTTCTCCCCCAGATGCATGCCATGTGTTCTGATGGGCTGTATTCCCACCAATCAATAAATAAACGCTTGTCAGACCCTTCTCTGGCTTGTTTTCTCAAAGCTGAAATCTCTGCCTCGTATTTTATATCGTCTGCGTTGTTGAATCTGTTTGTTGTGATTATTAGATTCCGAGTTTACTATGAGTGGAGTTACATGATAGTAAGATAATCAGTTTTTAAATTAGACTCTTGTGTCCTAGTTAGAACTGTTTTGCACTCTTTTGCTGTTTTAAATCCATTAATTTCCTACTATTTTGCAAATAAATAAAAGGGCAGATGGAAGCGAGGGGTTTGTGGCCGAGTACTGGAAGAATGTCAGTGAGCTGTACTTAGTTAGCTTCATGACCAAAATTTGGGGGAAGAGGTTAGGCTCAGTTAGCCTGAATTTTGATTGTATAAATAGGCTGATAATTAGAATACTAAAATGGAGCCAGGATTAGGTGAGATCAGGTGTCGGGTTGTGGTGACCTGGGACCAAGGAACTGAGTGTGACTGATTACAAACCCACTTAGGGGTTTGTCATTTCTCTCGTGTGGTTCTTGATCTGCTCTGAGGATCTCAGATGCCATCTTTCATTCCTGTGGAGGACCAGCTTCTGGACATCTCTGGTTCTAGATTCTGCTCTCCTAGGCTCCTATTTCAGGGCTCTGTCCTCTCAGACCTGTCGATGGTCACATCTTCTGTAGTAGACCTGCTCAGAGGAATGAGAAGTTATACTCCAGCAGTGCCCAATTAAGGATAGCTTGGTGTTTGGCTTTGTGCAGTGATAGGAAAGATTAGCCTAGAAAGCATTTTGCTTTTCAGCTTTAATAGTCAACAAGTTGCAGGTGTTAAATGCTTATAAGGTATGCCATATGCTCGAGGATTTGCCTGGCTGTTAGCTCAGTGCTCTGAGTATGTTTGTAGGCTAGGCCACACTATGATATAAGGTATAGAAATTACATGTTCTACCTGTGGTATTTTTAGCTTATGCTAGGGTTATGGGGGAGTAACCTGTATGCCAAGAAGCACCTAGATATACTATCAGTGGTCTTTAAATGTCCTTCAACCATTTTTAGCAGTTCAATTTTCTCTTTATCTCCTTCCCACCATGTTGTGTGAACATTTCCTAAAAATGTCTTCTTAAATATATAGAGAATAGTTCAGCTCTGTTTTGAGTAACCCTGGACGCATATTACCCGAAGATCTTATAAATAAATACTAGTGCTTGGATTTTACACTAGACTAGCCCAATCTGGATTTATGTTTTTTTTAAATATTTATTTATGTATTTAATGTATACAATATTCTGTCTGTGTGCATGCCTGAAGACCAGAAGAGGGCACCAGACCTCATTACAGATTGTTGTGAGCCACCATGTGGTTGCTGGGAATTGAACTCAGGACCTTTGGAAGAACAGGCAATGCTCTTAACCACTGAGCCATCTCTCCAGCCCCTCAAATCTGGATTTATGGATGGGGTCTTTTTTTGAAAATTCCCAATTAAAACTGGTGTAGGGTGATTCCCTTAGGCCCTCTTCTTACACTAATATTTCAGTCCTTAATGACCTCTGCCATCTCTAGTTGAGAGGAATACTGGGGAAAGGCTGGGTTATTTAAACAGTCTTAGCGTCATGTATGTCTCTCAAACCTTCGAGGAAAAAAGACGTCATGACATTCAGGTACCGAAACTCCTGCCATCTGAAATTGTTCAATGTAGTGACTCTTGTGCTAACAGTTCCTTATTTGGGGGATCATTAGGCAGACTGTCAGCGTGATCAGAATTAAATGCAGTCATGAGTGAGCACCAAGTTCTAGAGCGAAGGTTCAGCTAGCTGACGTAGCACCAGCTCTGAGACATGGAAGTTGTCAAAGTTTAGCTTAATTTAGATTTACCTCCATGCTGCTGGCTCACATGCTTTTTTACATTGTCACTTCATTTTAGACGTCATCTGCTCTTCGGCAAACAAGAGCCGTACTTTCCCGTGTGCACCCCTCGTGTCTCCATCTTTCCATCGAGTTACCATTTCTGTTGGATATGTAGTAAATTGGAATTACTTTGCCTTCCGTGCCTTTTCGTTTTCCTTGCAATTAATATCAGGTTTTATTCAGTTGATTCAATCACCGAAGACATCCAGACTTCTTCTTTCTGGTAATCTTTCTGTTGTTCCCTCTACCTGTAAAAGTCCCCTGGGCTGTCTACCACTTTTACCTAGAACCTGCACAACTTGTCCAGGAATGCAGTCTCCACTTGACCATGAGATGCTTGGCCGTGAGATGGGGGAGCTGCCCCACCGCAGAGTGGGAACCTGGGCATCTGACAGCTGCTTTCACGGACTTTCAATCCATCTCATTATAGCATGTTTTTCTCATCTCCACTTCCAAAGGCACCTGCTGCCGCCAGTCCTAGCCACTAGGGATTCTGTTGTCTAAATCTAAATGGTTCTTATTTTAGAATGGCCAGCTTACAATTCAGTTTTTCTTCGGCTGGCTGAACCATGAAATATTGATTCATCTGCCCTCTAGCTTCTAAAATTCTGTTCCTGTGGTGTTCTTTCCCTCTTTATTTTTTGACTTGTGCTTGAGAGCAAAAAGCACCCCTACCCCACCACCCCCATTCTAAGACCTCTGTGGAGATTTTGGTGGGGTTTGGGCCAAAGTGAAGCTAAATCTGTGTGTAAGCCCCGTCTTTACCTAGAGGTCACAATTCTGTATTTGAGCACACAGATCAGAATGAAGGAAGGGGAGGAATACACAATCATTAGCTGTTAGGTAGCGCAGGTTGGCAAGGAACGAAGACAAATGTGGTAAACCTATGAAACTTAAAGATTTAGGTTAAGTGGGTCTTGGGAATCTGAGAGGCTTTGTCCTTGGACTGTGACTGTTGAACGGAATTTCCACAGTGCAGCTCAGCTCAGCTGTCATTCTGCCTTCCTAGGTTCTCAGCAGTGGTCCTCCGTGCTGATAAATTCATGACACTGGCCATGAACTCCAAGAGGGCTCTCTGGCCCCTGCCCCTGTTAGCATTTTATTTTTTGAGTTGTATTTTGGAAGAATGGAAAAGCCCCCACTTTGGGAACACTGGCACACCTGTGTTCAAACACCAGCCTTGCCCCTGGCTCTGTGGCCTCAGGCAACTCGGGCCCTCTGCGCAGGTGTTTCCTTCATCTGTGGAATACGGTGGGATCACCTTTCAAAGAGTGTGTTTAGTGAGTGGAGTCAGTGATTGGCAGGGTCTAGACATTCAGTGGAGACCCTCTTTTTAAAAATCAGCAATTCCTTTGGCAAAGGTGGGGATGAGCCAAGAACTAGGCTCATGTTCCTTCCAGCTATGGTTAAAATCCTGCGGCTGTTGACTTGCTCGGGAAGAGCCCAGCGATTCAAGGACAGGTTGTTGGGAAGGAACTTGGGTAAGCCAGCAAACGGAAGACAGTAAGAGCTTGGGTCCTGAACGACCACCTCTAGGTGATGTGGCAAGCTCCTTTATCTTTAGGCAAAAGTGTTTTAGGTGACTGGTGATGGCAGAATGCTGTCTCTCCACTAGTCCAAACAGGATATTGCAAGACCAAAGAGTTGATTTGTTCAGTTTTGTGTAGTCACAGGTCCATACCTGGTAAATTTCGAGAACGTCTTTGTTATGTTTGCTTTGGCACCCAGGTATTAGAATGGGGGTAGGGTGGAGCATTGAGAAAATGGACCTCGGACTGTTAGTTTTGGACCGTCTTTAGAGGTTTCTATGGTTTGTGTTTTGAGACAGGGCCTTCCTACTTAAGGCAGTCCTGCCTCAGCTGCCCAAATCTGCCACGCTGACAGTTCCTCTTGTAAATTCTGATAGCCCTTTGGGTGAGCATTCCTTAGCCCTCTGAGCCTGAAGTCAGTGAAACTTCTGCTCACCCTTTTGTCCCCCACTGTAAATACATTCATTGGGTACATTTAATGCTTCCCCCCTTAGCTGAGTGTGAAAAGGGCAGCTCTGGGAGACAGAATTGCCCGGAGGAGTGCAGGTAGCGTCAAAGCCAGAGCTATTAGGTTACAGTTGGGACTGGGTAAGAACTGACCCCAGTGAAAACGCTGAGGGACTTTAAGCAGAGCATCCATAGAACAATGCACACATCCTCAGTGTGCTGCTCTGCCGTTCACAGGCGAACATATCCACATAAAAGCGGGATGGTGGAGCTAGGGCCAGAGCCTTATGCAAAGGGGACTCAGATGCCTGGTTCTTCTGTAGAAAATTCCAGAAGGCTGGCTCTCTAGCCCGTATCAAAAGGAGCTTGGAGTGTGCACAGTTCCAGGAGGGAATAAAAGCCTCCTGGGAAGAGGGTATTGCAAATTTACACACCTTCAAAGAGGAAGACTGAAGCCAAGAAAATAATATCAGTCTGTTGGGAGCTCCCTGGGCTGCTGGCAAGAGGAAACAGACAGGCTCTGTGAGCATCTTTTTGCCACTGTGAAAATGGGGACACCTCACAAATAGGAGCTCACAAAAGTGATAAACCATGGAGGAAGTAATATATTTAGTTACGTAGTGTGTGTGGTGTGTGTCTTGTTTGTTGGTTTTTTGTTTTGTTTTGTTTTGTTTCGAGACATGGTTTCTTTATGTAGCCCTGGCTGTTCAGGAACTAGCTCTGTAGACTAGGCTGGCCCACGAACTCATAAGAGATCTCCTGCCTCTGCCTCTGGAATTCTGGAATTAAAGATGTGAGCTCCCATCTCCTGGCTTGGAGTGTTGGTGCTGGAGAATTGTCTGTATTCTGTCAATCATGTTTTAAATAAACACTGATTGGTCAGGCAGGAAGCATAGGTGGGAAAACAAGACAGGAAGTAGAAGCGGGGCAGTGAGAACAGAAGGATTCTGGAAAGAAGGGAGCTATTCCCCCAATCCTGCCCAGGCCACCAAAGAAGCAAGATGTAAGCTACCCGGCTGAGAAAGGTACGGAGCCATGTGGCTAACGTAGATAAGAACAATGGATCAATATAAGCTACAAGAGTTAACAAGAAGCCTGAGCTAATGAGCCAATCAGTTTTATAACTTATGGAGATCTCTGTGTGATTTTCTTTGGGGCTTGCCGGTTGTGGGGAACTG